CTCCTTCCTGCTCCTCAGCATCTTCCCCAGTCCTCATCCGCCTCCCTGCTCCTCAACCTCCTTCCTGCTCCTCAGCATCTTCCCCAGTCCTCATCCGCCTCCCTGCTCCTCAACCTCCTTCCTGCTCCTCAGCATCTTCCCCAGTCCTCATCCGCCTCCCTGCTCCTCAACCTCCTTCCTGCTCCTCAGCATCTTCCCCAGTCCTCATCCTCCTCCCTGCTCCTCATCCTCCTCCCAGGTCCTCATCCTCCTCCCTGCTCCTCAGCGTCTTCTCCAGTCCTCATCCTCCTCCCTGCTCCTCATCCTCCTCACTGCTTCCTCATCCTCCTCCCCAGTCCTCATCCTCCTCCCTGCTTCCCATCTTGCTCCCCACTCTTCATCCCCCTTCCCACTCCTCCTCCTCCTCCCCATTCCTCATCCTCCTCCCCGCTCCTCATCCTCACCACCCCCAGGCTTTCTACGGAGCTCCCTGTTGGGAGTTACGCGGAGCAAAGGTGCTGAGCGTAACCCGCTCGTTAGCCCCTCGCTGCTAATTAGAGCCCGAGGGGGATCTCTGCGGGGCCGGGGCTCTGGCCGTCACCCCGGGGTGGGGGAGACGTGGGGACGGCTCCGGGACCCGTTTTACCCCCTTGAAAATTGAACCATCTCCAAATTTCCCCTCCAAAAAGAGCTGGAAATAATTCCTGGGTATTAACGGCAGCTCGTTGTGTCGCTAATGAGGTTACAGTAATTAAGCCGAGCGCTTCCATCCATCCCGGGGGGGCGCACGGCTGACACGTCTTTTCGAGTTATAAATAGTGCAAAATTCAGAGATATCAGCAAAAAAGAAGTGAGATGGAAAAGAAGGGGAAAAGGTTATTTTTGTGGCCGAAAGGAGCGTTTTTTTCCCTCCACGCAGCGCGCTGACGGCTCCTGCGGGGACCAAAAATGGGGGAAAACCCCTGGAAAAGGGTAAAAAGATGGGGAAATGGGGTCAGGACCTACTTTTTGAAGGTGTCCCCGAAGGTAAAGATGGGGAAATGAAGCTGGGACCTACTTTTTGAAGGTGTCCCCAAAGGGAAGGACCAGCCAGCGCCTGGGTGTGGTGATGGTCCCAGTGGGGACCAAAAATGAGGGAAAACCCCTGGAAAAGGCTGTAAAAAAGTGGAAGTGAGGTCGGGATGTACTTTTTGAAGGTGTCCCCGAAGGGAAAGACCAGCCAGTGGCTGAGGAGGTTGATGGCACCAAGGGGGATGGAAAATGAGGGAAAACCCCTGGAAAAGGGTATAAAAACAGGAAAATGAGGTCGGGACCTACTTTTTGAAGGTGTCCCCAAAGGGAAGTAAGGACCAGCCAACACCTGGGCGTGATGACAGCCCCAGTGGGGACCGAAAATGAGGGAAAACCCCTGGAAAAGGGTGTAAAGATGGGGAAATGAGGTCAGGACCTACTTTTTGAAGGTGTCCCCGAAGGGAAGGGCCGACCAGCGCCTGGGCAGGCTGATGGCACCAACGGGGACCAAAAATGAGGGAAAACCCCTGGAAAAGGGTGTAAAGATGGGGAAATGAGGTCAGGACCTACTTTTTGAAGGTGTCCCCGAAGGGAAGCCAGCACTTGGGCATGATGACAGTCCCAGTGGGGATGGAAAATGAGGGAAAACCCCTGGAAAAGGGTAAGAAAATGAGGAAATGAGGTCAGGACCTACTGGGGACCTACTTTTTGAAGGTGTCCCCGAAGGGAAGGACCAGCCAGTGCCTGGGCAGGCTGATGGCCCCAGTGGAGATGGAAAATGAGGGAAAACCCCTGGAAAAGGGTAAAAAGATGGGGAAATGAGGTCAGGAACTACTTTTTGAAGGTGTCCCCAAGGAAGGACCGACCAGCCAGCACTTGGGCATGATGACACTCCCAGTGGGGACCAAAAATGAGGGAAAACCCCTGGAAAGGGGTAAAAAGATGGGGAAATGAGGTCAGGAACTACTTTTTGAAGGTGTCCCCAAGGAAGGACCGACCAGCCAGCACTTGGGCATGATGACACTCCCAGTGGGGACCAAAAATGAGGGAAAACCCCTGGAAAAGGGTAAAAAGATGGGGAAATGAGGTCGGGACCTACTTTTTGAAGGTGTCCCCAAAGGGAAGGGCTGACCAGCAGCTGAGGAGGTTGATGGCCCCAATGGGGGTGGAAAATGAGGGATAACCCCTGGAAACAGGTATAAAAACAGGGAAATGAGGATGGGACCTACATTTTGAAGGTGTCCCCAAAGGGAAGGGCCAACCAGCCAGCTCCTGGGCAGGCTGATGGCACCAACAGGGACCAAAAATGAGGGAAAACCCCTGGAAAAGTTTATAAAGATGGGGAAAAGAAGTTGGGACCTACTTTTTGAAGGTGTCTCCAAAGGGAAGGACCGACCAGCCAGCACCTGGGTGTGATGACGGTCCCAGTGGGGACTGAAAATGAGGGAAAACCCCTGGAAAAGGGTGTAAAGATGGGGAAAAGAAGTTGGGAGGTACTTTTTGAAGGTGTCCCCGAAGGGAAGCCAGCACTTGGGCATGATGACAGTCCCAGTGGGGATGGAAAATGAGGGAAAACCCCTGGAAAAGGGTATAAAGATGGGGAAATGAGTTCAGGACCTACTTTTTGAAGGTGTCCCCGAAGGGAAGGGCCAGCCAGCGCCTGGGCATGCTGCGGAGGAAGGCTCTCTGCTCTTCCTCGGGGGTCCCGGTGTTGTGCGGGTCCCGGGCAGTACTGGTCCCGGGCCATGCTGGGCCCGGGTGTGTGCGGGTCCCGGGGGTGTGCGGGTCCCGGGGGTGCAGGTCCTGGGCAGTACCGATCCCGTAGGTGCGGGTCCCGGGTGTGTGTGGGTCCCGGAGGTGCGGGTCCTGGGCAGTACGGGTCCCGGAGGTGCGGGTTCCGGGGGTCTGCGGGTCCCGGGCTCTGCCCGTCCGGTCCCGGAGGTGCGGGTCCTGGGTGTGTGCGGGTCCCGGAGGTGCGGGACCCGGGTGTGTGCGGGTCCGGGGGTGCGAATCCCGAGTGTGTGCGGGTCCCGGGTGTGTGCGGGTCCCGGGCCATGCTGGACCCGAGGGTGCGGGGCCCGGGGTGCGCGGGTCCCGGAGGTGCGGATCCCAAGTGTGTGCGGGTCCCAGGCCATGCTGGATCCGAGTATGTGCGGGTCTCGGGGGTGTGCGGGTCCCAGGTTGTGTCGGTCCAATCCCGGAGGTGCGGGTCCCGGGTGTGTGCGGGTCCCGGAGTTGTGAGGGTCCCGGGCTGTGCCCGTCTGGTCCCGAAGGTGCGGGTCCCGGGGGTGTGTGGGTCCCGGAGGTGCGGGTCCCGGGCAGTACCAGTCCTGGAGGTGCGGGTCCTGGGTGTGTGCGGGGCCCGGGCCATGCTGGACCCGGTTGTGTGCGGGTCCCGGGGATCTGTGGGTCCCGGAGGTGCGGGTTCCGGGTGTGTGCGGGTCCCGGGTGTGTGCGGATCCCGGAGGCGTGAGGGTCCCGGGCAGCACCGGTCCCGGAGGTGCGGGACCCGGGGGTGTGCGGGTCCTGGAGGTGCGGGACCCGGGGGTGTGCGGGTCCCGGACTATGCTGGACCCGGGGGTGCGGGGCCCGGGGGCGTGCGTGTCCTGCAGGTGCGGGTCCCGGGCCGTGCCCGGTCCCGGAGGTGCGGGGGGGTTGGGAACCCGGTTATGTGGGTCCCGACGCCGTGAGGTCCCGGGGTTGCGTGTCCCGGGCAACGCCGGTCCCGGTTGTGTGCGGGTCCTGGACGGTCCCGGTCCCGGGTGTACGGGTCCCGGTGCTGGGGGTAGTGCCGGTCCCGGGCGATGCCGGTGCCGGGAGTGCGAGTCCCGGTACCGGGGGTGCGGGTTCCGGTGCTGAGGGTCGTGCCGGTCCCGGGCGGTGCGGATCCCGGTACCGGGGGTGCGGGTCCCGGTGCTGGGGGTGCGGGTCCCGGGGCAGTGCCAATCCCGGGTGGTCCCTGGCCGTGCTGGACCCGGGGGTGCGGGGGGGTTGGGAACCCGGTTATGTGGGTCCCGACGCCGTGAGGTCCCGGAGTTGCGTGTCCCGGGCAACGCCGGTCCCGGTTGTGTGCGGGTCCTGGACGGTCCCGGGTGTACGGGTCCCGGTGCTGGGGGTAGTGCCGGTCCCGGGCGATGCCGGTGCCGGGAGTGCGAGTCCCGGTACCGGGGGTGCGGGTTCCGGTGCTGAGGGTCGTGCCGGTCCCGGGCGGTGCGGATCCCGGTACCGGGGGTGCGGGTCCCGGTGCTGGGGGTGCGGGTCCCGGGGCAGTGCCAATCCCGGGTGTGCGGGTCCCGGGCCGTGCCGGTGCTGGTCCCGGGGCAGTGCCAATCCCGAGTGTGCAGGTCCCAGTACCGGAGTTGCGTGTCCCGGGCAGCGCCGGTCCCGGTTGTGTGCGGGTCCTGGACGGTCCCGGGTGTACGGGTCCCGGTGCTGGGGGTAGTGCCGGTCCCGGGCGGTGCCGGTGCCGGGCGGTGCGGGTCCCATTACCGGGGGTGCGGGTCCCGGTGCTGGGGTAATGCCGGTCCCGGTTGTGTGCGGGCCCTGGACGGTCCCGGTCCCGGGTGTGCGGGTCCCGGTACCGGGGATGCAGTGCTGGGAGTGCGTGTCCCGGGGCAGTGCCGGTCCCGGGCGGCGCCGGTGCCGGGGGTGCGGGTCCTGGGCGATGCCGGGGGTGCGTGTCCCGGTACCGGGGGTAGTGCGTGTCCCGGTGCAGCGCCGGTCCCGGGCGGTGCAGGTGCCGTGTTCCGAATATCCCCGGTGCGGACACGAACGAGTTAACCCCCGGGCGGTCCCAGCACCCCTCGCACCCCCCCATTCCCCCGGTTTTACCACCCCCGC